AAGAAGACATAAGAACACTTATTAATATCTATGTTCCCAAACAAGGAGCCCTGAAATATGTAAAGCAATTACTAACAGAACTAAAGGGAGAAACAGACCAAAACACTACCGTAGTACCCCTAAATACCCCACTGTTGGATATGGACAGATCATCCATACAGAAAATCAATAAGGAAATAATGTCCTTAAATGACACATTAGACCAACTGGACATAATTGGCATATACAGAGCCTTCTATCCCCAAACAACTGCTTTTACATTCTCATCTAGTGCACGTGGAATATTCTCAAGAATTGATCACATACTGGGACACAGAGATAGCCTCAACAAATATAAGAGGGTTAAAATCATAGCGACCATATTCTCTGATCATAATTCTTTGAAACTAGAGATCAACTGGAGAAAAAAATCAGGAAGAACCACAAATACATGAGATTAAACAACATGCTACTGAAGAAAAGCTGGGTCAGGAAAGAAAGAAAAAGAGATCAAGAGATACACAGAAATGAATGATAATGATAGTACAACCTATCAAAACTTTTGGGACATGGCAAAAGCAGTCATAAGAGGAAAGTTCATATCATTACAAGCCTATCTCCAGTAACAAGAACGAGCCCAAATAAACAACCTAACGCTTCATCTTGAGAAGAAAAAACAAATGCCTAAAATCAGCAGAAGGAAAGAAATAATCAAAATTAGAGCAGAAAAAATGAAATTGATAACAAATTCCCATGCACCCATCACCCAACTTCAAAAATTATCAATATTTTAAAAAATGCGATTTATTTGTTGAAGAAGCCAGGTTCTTTGGATTTAGCAAATTGATTCTTTATGGTATTTTAAAACTTGTTCCTCTAACCCTTGTGTTTTTAGAAACTAATTGTTAGATGTAGAGGCTTGATTACATTCAGGTTCAATTTTATTTTGGCACGAGTACCTCATAAGTGTTCCCATGTACTTTCTATTGCGTCACATCAGTAGTCACATAAAGTCTGATTATCCTGCTGTTAGTGATGTTAAGATGATCAGTGAATGCAGGTATTGTTAGTTTTATCTTTTATAGTTTCTTAACCTTTTACCTAGTGGTTTTAGCAGCCATTCTGCACATATTACTTAATCAGAATTCAAAGTATAAAATCGTTGGTGATTTTCTTATGTCTTTCATTTTGTTTCCCCCTCAATAATCAAATCATATTAACAAATGAAAGAATTTCATTTCGTGATTCAGAGCTTTACTAATGAACTTGAATATATCCCAAGCAATTTGAAATTTAAGATGAATTAATTTAAATAAAATTGGTAGTCTTTGTTTTTTAGTCAGTCAAATGCTTTTTTGTCTCCCTTATAAAAATAGACTTTAGCATTGTTTTTTTAAAACAAATGAAGTAGAATCTGAGTATATTAGAATCAGAAGGAATTTTTTGCTAAAGATTGCATGTTTCACTTTAAAGTGTTAGAAACTTACTTTGTAAGATTATACAGTAGTTAGTTGCGAAAATCATAAAGCAAAGTAAGGCAGTGAAGGATTCTAAATTCAGAGTGATAGTTTTCTCTGTTGGAAGGCAAGAGGATGAGATTGATGAGAGCCATACAGGGAGCTTGAAAAATACTGGTAATATTCATTTTTTTTATTTTTTAAAGTTTATGTATGTTATATTTTTATAATGTATAATTTATTTCAAAATGCAAAAGAATGGACTCATTTACTGACAATTTGAAATATTCTCAAATGTTTGATTAAATCTTAAACATAAAGACTTTATCTCTACAAAAACACCATAAAATACATAGCTTCCGAAATTATTTCTTTAGTTCAAGGTAAAAATGAAGGGATCATTATATATCTTATTTGAAATAATAGTCTATTTTTAAGGTCATGCTTTAAAAATTATATTTAATATCAGCCTAGCATTCTAAGTAACTATGAAGGATGGCTGATTATAAGTGTCAACTAACTTCTTCTCATTCTTAGCTGTAGACTGGTTTACTTGAGACTACCCAAGGTTAGTGCTTATTGTGTGTCATTTTTGTGTAGTTGGTTTTTGGTCCTTAAGCAAAGTAACGTTAGTACTTTTTTTAGCTATCAAATGAGTTTATTAGTCAATCTGGTGGTATGTGGGGCCTAGAGATTGTATCTGGATTTCCATCGGAGGCATAGTGTTTTAGCTTAGATGGCCTGCTTTTGGGGACAACTGAAAAAACTGCTGGAGAAAAAAAATCATTCATGTCTTTTTTTTTTTTTAAAGCAACAGATTTTCTATTGGCAACAGCCTGTCAGAAAATATGATTCAAAAAATTCTCATTCACAATGTCAATTTATAAAATACTTAGAAATATACTAACATTCACATTCATTCGCATCATAGAAAGATTATAAACATTTTGAAAGATTGTGGTACTACAAGTACCCCAAGTTCTTGAATATGAATCTTCAATATTATAAATATATCAGTTTTCCGCAAGTTACCTATGAATACAAGCTAATTACAATAATAGATTTTTTTAACGAGTCCTATTTTTTAAATTTAGTTTCGAGTATATAGTACATTGGTTAGACACCTATATATTTCATAAAACGATCCCCCCATTGCACCCTCCCTCCCCTGACCCTTCACCTAGCCACGTATTAATACTAACTGCATTCCCAATGCCATGCTCTTCATCCCTGTGACCATCCAACAGCTACTAATTTGTACTTCTTTAGCCCTTCACCCTATTCTCCAGCCTCCCAAACTCCTCTCCCATTTGTCTGACACCAAATTGTCCACTATATTTGTGAGTCTGTTTTTGATTAGTTTGTCTTTTTTATTCCTTAGATTCTGCATATAAGTGAAATCATATAATGTTTATCTTTCTCTGTCTGACTTAAATACCTTCTAGGTCCATCAAAGCAATATCTTTTTCCATCCCCTTCCTTTTCATATGTAGAGGTCTTGTTTTCTTATCCTTTCAGTCACTCTATGTCTTTTGGTTGGAGCACTTAATTTTTTTCCACTTAAGGTACTTATTGATAGGAATGTAGTTGTTACCATTCTTTATTCCTGTTTTTGATACATGTTTTTTCTTAAAGAAGTCCTTCCAACATTTCCTGTAATACTGGCTTAGTGGTGATAAATTCCTTTAGCTTATTTTTGTCTGGGGAGCTCTTTTTCTGTCCCTTAACTCTAAAAGATAGCTTTGCTGGATAAATTATTCTTGGTTGTATATCCTGGGTCTTCATCTTGTCAGTATTTTTTGCCAAGCCCTTCTGTCCTGCATAGCCCCTCTTGAGAAATGAGCTGCCAGTCTTATGGGTGTTTCCTTGTATGTAATTATTTGTTTTTCTCTAGCTGCTTTTAAAACTTTCTCTTTGTATTTAATCTTTGGCATTTTAATTATGATGTGTCTTGGTGTGGGCCTCTTTGGATCCCTGATTTTTGGAATCCTCTGAGCTTCCCGGCGTTTT